GGGCAGGGTCAACTGAGGACTGCCCACGCGGAGAACTACAAACAAGAAAAGAGAAGGGAGTCTGGGGATGAGAACAACTGAGGGGCAGGGGAAGGTTTGAGGAGGGCATCCCCAACTCAAATGAACTAGAGGGCTGTGGCTGGAGCTGAGCGGCCGGACACCAGGTTCTGCTTCAGAGCCAGGCGTCCCTGGGCCCCGAGGGCAGGCCCGGCCAGCAGGGAGGTGGTTGGAGGTGTCCCCCCACCCCCCCAAAGCCCTGCGAAAGTGATAGACCCAGTACCGGGTTTATGACAATGAGACAGGGGGAGGGAGGTAAGCTACCGCTTCCCATGGGATGTTTTCGTCCCGAGATTCAGAGAGACTTACTGAATGATCGCTGGCCGTGAAGATGGGTGAGGAGGAGGCAGTCCTCGGAGCCCAGAAAGATGGAGGAGAAGGATTAGGATTCTCTCTCTGAACCTCACAGAGGCAGGGTTAGGGGGTTAGCCTGGGTCGAGCTTTCGCTGCCCCCTGCTCCCCTAGTCACAGGTCTCAGGGGGCTGGGAAAGAGGAAGAAATAGAGAATGTCCCCATATAGGCCACCAAACGTTAGGGTGGTCAGTGACGCGGGCTGTGAAAGAACTCACAAAGAGAAGAGAGTGCGGAGAGTAAAGTTTGTATTCACTCTCCAGGAGAGGAGAGGGGCACCGTGTGGAGACACACACTAGCATTGAGAGAGGGGCTTTGAGCTTTCATTGGGTTATAATTGGATTTAAAAGGGGTGGAGGGTCGCTGCTGTGAGGCCCTGGGGCTGTCGGGCGTTGTAACTCCAGGCTGCAGTTTGTTCCAAGGTTATCTTCTGCCTGTGGCTGCAGGGAGCGGCTAGTTCTGTTCTTGCTCCCCAGTAACATCCAGTCCTGGGGATGAGCTCAGGAGAGTGAAATGGAGTCATGTTTAACAAGGTCACAGGCTGGCTCAGCAATGGTGCCTCAATAGCAAGTGGCTCTGGCTTCATCCTTCCACATTTTATACATTTTATTATAATCATTTATCTCCTGTGTTTGGTCCCTGGTAATCTGATGAAAGTTATGGATTCTCTTCCCAGAAAAATACCCTGTATATTCAATAGAATGGGTGTTTCCAGAACTCCCAGCGGGCCGTGCTGGTGTTAGGGGCCCTCGGCTAGTGTGCGTTTGCGTGACTGGGTGCTCAACAGCAGGGGGTGCCGCTCATTCCTCTCAGGACCAGGGTGGGGGCAGGAGCCCTGCCGGCAGCTCCTGACTGGTGGTTGGGTACAGCCTACTGGCAAGTTGATATCTGAGTAAACACTGGGTCAGAGTGTTTGTTAATCCTCCTTTGCATATGTAACAGCCCCACAGTAAGGGCTTGATAAATGTCAGCTGCGAGAGGGTGGTAGCTTTAGCACTTCACAAGGTTCTCACACTTTTGTGGGGTGCCCTAAGTGTTAATGCCTCCATTGTATAGCCAGAGAAGTAAAGGCTCAACGAAGAGAAGTGTGTCATGCTGGGAAGGCAGTGTCTGATGCCCCATCAGAGTTGGGGTGAGGGTTGGCTGAGTTGGCACCAAGCCTGCCTCACGGGTTGTCTTCCCTGAGCTACTGTGGTGGAGCTAAGGCTGGCGCCTGGGACAGGCGCCCCGGACAGTGTGCCCTCTGCTTCCCTGTGGTTCTGCCCTCCAGGGTTTATAATCTGACTGGGTTTATAAAGGGAGAAGAAAGAAAGGATTCTAAATTACTTCCACTTTTCTCCTAGTTAATTCTTAGAGCAGCCCTGTGTGGGAACCCTGATTAATGTTCCCTTTTTACAGATGAGAAAACTGAGGCTCAAAGCAGGTAAGAAGCAGAGAGGTCAGGGTTGACTCCAAAGTCTCCAAATGCCCAGATAATTAGTGAGCAATATATATAGTCAAGTGGCAACAATTTAGCACTTAGTCGTACACTTTCCCACACTGTATTGTATATCATTTAATACTAATTACAGGGTTTCAGAATGAGCAGAGGTGGGTGTGGATGAGAATGTCAGGGGAAGGTTTCATGGAGACTTGGGGAACTGAGCTGGGCCTTAGAGAAAATTTGGGTGGAGGCTGGAGGGGGTGGAGCAGATTTCTGGAGGAAGGAATAGAATCATGAAGGCATAGGTGGGATTGAGCATGGGTGGGAGCAGGAGGGGGCTAGGATAGCGGTATTTAAATAATGGAACTCTGTAAATGTGAATGTAACTAACGTTCGCTGAGATCTAAGTGCCAGGTGCTGTGCTAAGTCCCTCCCGCTGTCACTGTGAGCAGTCCACGCTCACCCGGGAGGGAAGGAAACTCCACTCGGACAGGTGCTGTCATTACCTCCACTCCACGAGTGAGGGAACCGATGGCAGCGTTGCGAATTGGAGCCAGGCTGGACTCCAGAACATGTGTTCTTCTCAGCTCAAGTTCAAAGACAGCCTATTAGAAGTGGGTGTATTGTGAATAGTGGGAATAAGAAGGACTAATCTAGGGTCTTGTTACTCAGAGTGTGGCCCTAAGGAGCTTGTTAGGAATGCCACGCCCCGCACTCCCACTCCTACGGAATCAGAGTCTGCATTTCAGCATAATTTCCAGGTGATTGGTGTGTACATTAGCATTTGAGAAGCACAGGCTTGTAAAAAGTTTGGCTGGATAAATGCTTGTGCTCTTCCAGTCTTTCTGATGACCGTCTTCCTCCTGGCGAGGGAGTGTAAATGCATTCCTGGAGAGTGTGAGTGAGGGCCCGGGGCAGCCTAGCACAGCTGAGATCTCTTTGAAGTCTCATATTTCATCTAAAAATGTCATAGAATGTTTCATTCCATACTGTAATATGTCAGCGGTCATTTCAATATTTCAAAATGGTTATGTAAATTGCCTTGGAGGAGGATCCAAGTCCCTTTAAGATGCATTGGATGGGTTTCCTTGTGTCTTAAGTGGGGTGATAATAACCACTGCAAGGGCTGCTCTGAAGATCAGAGGAGAATCACGCGCGTGGGAATGCTGCCTGAAGGGTCTGCACGACACACGTCTCGTCATTTCGGGGAGAGATTGGAGCCTCCTCCCCAGACCCAGTGTCCTGCATCCAGCGCTCCTTGGGCCTCGGCCTTGGATTAGGAGTGACCCTCTGGGTTCCCCAGCCAGGGGGCCCATTTCCTTGTAATCGGAAGGGAAGTAAAGACAGAAGGGGAGAGACCCAGAAAGGTGGGATGGACAGAGACCATGTCCGTCCATGTCTGCGGCCAAAGGAGGAAGGGCAGCCAGAGAGGCCCAGGCAGAAAGCTGGAAGGAAAGGAGGCTCATTCGAAACTGCAGAAGCTGGAGGAGGAGAACTGGGGCAGGAATGGGTGGTCGGCTGCTCCCCTTGGCCTGGAGCTGCTGGACAGGAAGAGGAAGGGAGGAGCTGTTGTATTTGGGTGAGGAGGCTTGGGTTCCCCAGGGTGGGGCTCTGGTAGAGCAGTGGGCTTAAAGCCAGATTTTGACAAACGAAGAAGAGAACAATGGAGAGTCTCCTCCACCCCATCTTCTCCCAATGTTAATGGTTTGGATTTTCACACAAATTGCATTTTTATTACTAATGTCCTACTTGCCATTTAAAACTTAATCCCTCTAATTTGTAACTAGAACCAAATTGATATTGTCTCTTTAATCCATTTGTCAAAAAGTTATTTAAAGAACATAGAAAGTTGCAAAACGTTGTTTATAGTATGATCTTGTTTTGCTTAAAGGAATATGTGTTTATGTATTTATGAATATGTATATTATAAACAAAGAGAAACATTGAGGGATATATGTCAAATTATAATGGGGATTTTGCTAGTATATGCATGTCACTTTATTTTTTAAAAGATTTTATTTATTTATTTTTAGAGAGATGAGAAGGGAGGGAGAGAGGGAGAGAAACATCCATGTGTGAGAGAAACATCGACTAGTTGCCTCGTTCGCACATCCCCAACCGGGGACCTGGCCTGCAACCCAGGCCTGTGCCCTGACCGGGAACTGAACCTTTATGGTTCACAGGCTGGCGCTCATTCCACTGAGCCACACCAGCCAGGGCTCAGCTGAAACTTGTAAAGTCATAACTAAATCGCCTAGGTACTTTTTCAGGCATGGGTGGATCCAGGGGCTCAAACGATGTCATTAGGATTCTCTCTCCGTCTCTCAGAAGTGCTGTCTTCTTTACTGACTTCATTCTCAGGCAGTTCCAGACCTGCATCTCATCAGCTGAGCACCGCAGTGGAAGGAGAGCAGCTTTTCCCTGAGAGTATCAGCAAAGCCCAGGGCTGGCTTTGAGGGGCCCAGCTGGGGTCCCCGTTCAACCCTGGATCAGTGAATTACTGTGGCTGGGGGAAGCACTATGCTGATTGGTTAGACCAGGGCCAAGGTCATGTGACCCAAGAGGAGAACTAAGGCACTTTCAAGGGCATCTGGGAAAACCAGTGAACTGAAGGAAAGGGCAGAATTGTTCCCCGAAGGAAATCCAGAGCTCTGTTGCCAAAAGGGCAGGTGCACAGCCCTAAATGTCAGCTCTAAAGGGGCCTTCACTCTCTGAGTCATATGTTTTTGTAATGACTGAGTTGTTTATAGTAAGCACACATTTCTCTTGCAGTGGCATGTGGAAGATGAGATCCCCTCTTAAACAACTGATTTACGTGGCATCTGGTTATAACAGATTGAGAAAATTGAGAAAAGTTAATAATGAGTGGGAGAAAAGAGTGAAGCCCAGATCTTGTTCAAGCCCTTGATTTTACAGGGCATGGGAGGAATGAACAGTGGTGCTGAGGACTTGCCCTTCTTTTTGTGGATCATTAGTTGTGTGTGTTCAAGACCCACTGGGGCATCAGACAATCTCTGGGGCTCTGGGGCTCCAGAGTGACACGCCTAGGGAGCCAAGCCTGCGTCAAGGGCAGCTTCTGCCCCTGCCTCCCGAGCTGCGCGTGCTGTCTGGGCCTCAGTAAGTGCCTCCCTGCGCTCCAGTATCACACTGCTCTGTTTCTTTGTTTCAGGCTTACACTAAGGACATGGTGACAGACTTTGATGAGAAACATGATGAGTATTTAATACTGCTTCAGCAGAGGAACCGGTAAGATGAAGCCACTCACCGGCAGCCCTTCATATTAGCCAAATAAAAACCCTATTTAGCTTTATTAACAGCGTGCAGGCTCTGGTTCACATAGGGATGGGATGCAGTCACCTCCACTCAGAGGCTGGGAACATCATCTGCAGTGCCAGCTCCTGTGTCTCCATTCACTGATTTAATTGCATCTTTGATTGAGCTGTAGCTAACTGTCCCCGTGTAAGCACCGCCCCCCTCTTGCCTCCCTGTTTCTGTTCTGGGAGAAGGTGGGTTTGTCTTGAAAAGCTAGAATCTGGCAGGGCCTGTGCCGTAATCACCCGAATAGTCCAGTCTGTGATCTCACAGGCTGTGCTGGTCCTTTGAAATCTGAGCTGTAATCATGCCTTGTTTTGTGAAGGTGGAGTCATTTTACATTTGTGTTTGGAGTTGGTCCATGTGTCATTTAAAGTTAAGTTAGTGTGGATTTTGACTCTGGAGTGCTGGCTCTTGAAAGAGCTGGCAGTGGATGGAGGCAGTGTTTAGTGAGCGCAGTCAGAACAGGGGGTCTGGTCTGAGAGAGGCATCAGCGTCCTCAGCGCTGCCAAAATCTGCAAGGCGGCAGAAGTGCAGTTTAGTTCAGTGTGTTGGCCTTCGGGCCTGGGGCCTTGCAGGAAGCCGGCTTTGCAAACTCACAGGCCAGGAGGGGTGAGGCGGTTTGGGAAGCCGGCTCAGCGGGGAGAGTGGGCGCCTGGAATTTTCCCATTCCGGTGCTTGGCTCGGGCCAGCTGCTTGTGGGAACATGGGCCCAGGGGTTCCTGTCCTCCAGGGTTGCCAGCGAAGCTAGAAATCTGGGTTAGTGTTGTGAAACCTCCTGTGTTTTAAAGTGTTTATAATGAATTCAAACGAAAGCACAAAACAGATGGAAGAACACTGCAGGCCCCTAAAGCAGACCTGCGGAGAGGGAAGGGTTGGGTGCCCGTTTGGGCCTCTGTGTCATGGGCTAGGGGTCTTGCGGGCCTGATGGCCGGGGGTTGGCATCCTGAATGTGGGTTCAGCTCTTCCTGGACTAGCTGAACTCCCAGTCCTCGTCACCTGGGGCCCTGGCGGCATGCTGCATGAGACAAGTTTTTATGTGCAAGGTAATCCCATGTGTTGTAGGGGTTTAGTGTTCCTGTCCACTGGCCCCTGTGCTACATTCCATTAAGACCCCCCAGTATCTATGACAACAGCACCTGTCCACATTTCTGGACGCTCCCTGGTGAGGCCAAAGGTCCCCTGGTGGAGAACTTCTGAAGAGACAGCTCTCCAGGACCAGCCAGAGATGCCCCCTCTGCTGGGAGGCACTGTCCTCGGCGCCCAGCTGCTCTCTGCCCACCTCCCTCCAACCCAGGGGAGGCCTCCAGCCAGGACAGTGGAAGGCTGTGCTGACTGGCCCAATGTGGGTTTTTTATTATCATTAATACCATGTAGCACATTGATTTTTATTCAGCTTCAGGAAGGCTGGGTGGTGCCCCCAACACCTGGGTGATCATTTAATCAAATAAATGTGACTTCTCTGGGAGGAGAATGTCATAGGAACAATTTGCTTCCTATTAATCAGAGGATCAATAAGTGCATGATCAAAGAGATACCAGCCGATACAGTGTGTAGGAGAATATGCAGTGACAGGGTTGTGGCACAAAGGCAATTAAAAATACATCAAACCTGAGTTGCCATGAAATTTGGGGGAGGTGCCGTCACCAAGAGGGAGCTGGCTTGGTGATGGGAGATCAGAGGGGGGAGCCAAAGAGAAACACCTCCAGGTGGACACATATGTGGAAGGGGAGTGCACCTTTTCTGCAGTCCCAGCCACCTGCCAGGCGCCCCCATCCTGTCATCATTTCATTTCATCCGCACAGTGCCTGCCCGATGGGGTGGGTGCCGTTGCTGCGCCCACCTGACAGACGAGGGGTGGAGGCCCGGAGCAGGAGGTGGTTTGCCCAAGGTCATGCAACCAGGAAGTGGTGGGGCTGGGCTGTACTTTCTTAACTCTGTTTTGTTTGACTTTGTCATAAATAATCAAGTGGAGAGAAACCTGCCAGGGCAGCCAGTTCAGCGTGGAGGGAATGGGCAGGGAGAAACTGCAGTTTACTTGGAAGTCGAGTTAGAGGGCCGGGATGGAAAACAGCCTGAGCTTTGCACCACACCCAGAGGGAGGTGAGAGCCGGCTGCTGTCCAGGTTGCCTCGTGACGCGAGAAGGGGCGTGCAGTCCCCGGGGTAGGTTCTCGGGAGACACCTGCCAGAGCACAGCTGCCCACGAGATGCTGGGTGACGTTCCTCTTTTATTCATGCAGTAGGACTTCACAGAATTCCTTCTCAGTGCCCGGCATCAGCCGGGCACTGGTGTGAGGAGCACTGTGACGAGGGGGATGCAGACTGTGTCAGTGGTCCTTACTGGAAGGTGCAGAAGCCCAGGGTGGGTGGACTCTAAGCAGCAAGGAAACTTGCTCATGGAATAGAAAATGCTGGATGTTGTCTGGCTTTAGGCATGGTTGGATCCAGGTGCTCAGATTATGTCACCGAAATCAGTCACTCTCCATCTCTTAGCTCTGTTTTCCCATGTAGGAGTCATCTCAGGCAGGTGCTTCCCTCATGGGGGCCCAGGCAGCTCCTGGAAACCCCACGTTTATGTCCTACCTGGAGGGGAAGGGAGTACTCCTTTCCTAGTGGTTCCAGGAAGAGTGCTGGTAAGGGCTCCCATTGGCCAGGCCGGGGCCCCATTTCACTTCTGAGCTCATCACCTGCTTTGCCTGGTCAGGTGGCATGGCTGAAGGGCCGCTCCTTGGCCACCCATTAAGCTGGGGGTGGAATGAGTCTCACCCAAACCACGCAGAGTAAGTAGGTAACTGGGTTAAGTAGGGAACTGAGTGGAGGAAGTAGGGAATCTATAGGGCTGTGATTGGAAGATGGGGGGCAGGTGCTGAGCAGGCAGAAAGAACAGGTGTCCACCACACAGCCCTTGCCCTGGAGGAACTCCCTAGGCTTTGACAAGTGAGCACCAGGCCACCCATAAGTATGCCAGAAGGAGCAGAAAGTGACCCTGTGCTCCCGGAGAAGTTGGGAGGTGTGGCGTCCCAGTTTACACTGCACAGACTCTCCCAGAGGGGCCTGGTGGTTCTGGAAGATGTATCCATGCCCGACGGGACTCACGAGAGAGCAAGCAGAGCAATCACAGCGTGAGATACGAGGAGGGACTGAAGAGCCCACGGCCAAGGGGGCTGCAACGCTCACCTCTCAACTGTGGAGGGCGGGCCAGATACAGGAATCCAGCAGGTGTATAATTGACTGTTTGGGAAAGGTCTTTGAGGGAAACTTATAGGAAAACATACCCACATGAGAGGCGAACCTGCTGCCTCAAGAGGAAATTCAGGCACAAAGAAGGGAGGGGAGAACCAGCATCCAGTGGGGGCCTCCACGCGCTGCTCCCTGAGCGGGAGCCTCAGCCTGGTCTCCATTCCATCCCCGTGATGACCCAGAGAGGGGTAGGCATCCTGGCCTCATTTTACAGAAGAGGAAACCTGGGGACCCACCCCCAGCCACGCTGGGGAAATGGCAGCACCTCCCAGGAGGGAGATTCGTCCTCCACACTGGCCACCTCCACCCACACGGACTGGGGTGGGCGGTCACACCCTAGGGAATCAACGCCAGAGCCCCTGGGCCACCCAGGTTCTGGAAGGAGTGGCCGGGTGTGGGCGCTGTTGCTCTCTGCTCCCCCATACTTCAGGGCTGGACTCCAGTGCCAGCACCTCCAGACGCCCCCAGCTGGGAGTCACTGCTCCTTCCCTGAGCCCTCCTTGCTCAGGGCGCCTGTGGTGACACCTGGTAAGGGGACAGGAAAGACCACAATGGCGGCTGGGAGACAGGCCTGGAGCCCCGCCGACCGGAAGTGAAATGCTGGCTGCTTCCTTGGCTCCCAGGCCTCGGGCAGGCTCACTACAAAACAGCCCAGTGGTAGGGCTTGAATCGTGGGGCCAGGAAGGGTTCAGCGAGACAAGGTGCTTGAGGGTCCCTAATAAGTCCACCACCCAAGCTTGATTTCTTCATCATCATCTTCACCATTTAATGTCAAACATGCCTTCTCCCCGAGCTGACATCCAGACAGCCCTCGAGTGCCCGACCCGAGAGAACCCTCAGTTGACCGTTTGGGAAACTGGGGTCCGGAGGAGCCACGTGGCTGGTCCACAGCCACACCGTGACCTCCATGCTCAGAGACGGGAATGTCCAGCCTGGAGCCCAGTCACAGCCGGGCTCTGAGCAAAGCACTGCCCGCTCCTTGAGCTCGGCTCAGCTCGCACACCTCGGCCACGCGTGTGCTCGACCCGCCAGCCACAAGCATGTCGTGTTTTCCGTCACTCCTCGTGACACTCTGGGTGCCAGTTCCTGGTGTCTCCACTTCCTTTTCTGTGCACAAAAGCTCTCTGTACAAATGAAGTCAATATGGCTGAAATAGAAATGGTGACCGCTCCGTGCATTAGGTGCATGGTGGCTGTACCAGGACGTGCTCCTGCGCCTTCTCTCCTCGCTAGACCTGGAGCTACTGGGGGCCACTGGTTCCAGAAATAGGTCTCAAGAGTGTTCCTTGCTGTTGCTCACACTCAGCGTGGGCCCCCGTGCCCAGGGGCTCAGGTTCCCAGGGTGGGAAGGCAGAGAGGGCTCCCGGGTGCTCCCCTGCCCGTGAAGAGACACCCTCGCTGCACACAGACCAGCCCCGTGAGAGGACAGCATGGGCTGGCTGCAGGGGCAGCGGCTGCGTCTTCGTCTGCGATAGGGCAGGGCCTCCGTCTGATGTTTCCGAATCCCCTTCTTCACCTAGGGCCGCTTTTTATGCAAAGCAGGCTATCAATTTTTTAAAAAAAACACTTTTCTTTGATGCCACCTGAATGTTACTGATGTACTCAGCTGCGGCAGAGTTCCTTTAGCGATTCCTTTCACAGTTTGAATAATTATCTCCTCATTTATCAGCTTCATAAATCCACATTTTCATAAATTATCCTGCTTAAAGGGAGGCCCACGTGGGGTGCCAGCCCCAGATTCTGGGGACTTGGACGCCCCCATAACCATTGAGGTAGCATCAGGAGACAGTGCGGTCTCCAGAGGAAGGCCGAGGCAGGCACTCTCTGCCAGGTGGTCAGGTTCTGAGCCCTCCTCCCGCGCTGGGGCCTCCGGGCCTGGGGTCCCTGCGGGCCGTCCTCTCTCCCCTCCCTCCTCTCTCTCCCGGGACTGCTGGTGCCGTGGAGGGAGCCCTGTGGCTGTTTGCTCCAGCCAGAGTGGCTATTGCTGTGTTTGGAAATTGTCTCCTAGTTACTTGTGTTTTCCTTCTGTTTCCCGGCTGTTGCCCCACAATCAGGCATCTCCCAGGCTCCCGAAATTGGCAAGAGATAAGCAGTCTGTAATAAATGTTCCTGCCACTGTCTTTGAAAAGATGGATGTAGCAACTGCTTAAAAACAAACAAAGAAATCACCCATAATGCCACCACCTACCTTAACAACTGATTGAATTTTTACATTTGTCACCTTCCATTTGGGGTCCACAAACACACTTTTTTCCAACTTTGCACTTACCACATGTATACCATTATTAATCTCCCATTTTCATCCCCCCCAACCCCGAACAGAACCTAAGCAACACCCCATGTTTTGGCAGATTCTCTATAATTGTAGTGGTGGCGTGAGAGCCCGGCTTCTCCTTTCCTGCTGTTGAACGCGTGGGTTGCTTTCAGGGTTTCATTATGACCGATCAGGAACAATTTGCCGGAATGTGCTTAGAGCAAAGACCAAGCATGTGGTGTTTTCTGTATTTTTATTTAACTTCTGAGAAGCTTCTGTGAGTTACCAGCAGTGTCTAAGCTTGCCAGTTTTGACATCATCTCCGTAGCTTTAAGTTGTCTTCGTTGTGGTGAAGACTCTGCAGCCAAATTGCTTAAGTTTGCATCGTAGCCCTGCCACCATACCAGCTGTGTGACCTTGGGCCAGTTACTTAACCTCTCTGTGCTTCAGTCTGCTTATCTATTAAGTGGAGATAATAAATGCAGTTACCCCGTAGATGGTTGTAGTGATTAATGGCAATCCTCATTACTCACATTATTTCATATTTGTGAATTCACCTGCTCACTAAAGTGTATCTGTAACTCCAGAATTGATGTCTGCATGCTTTCACAGTCACGCACAGGCATCTGCAGAGTGACAGAGATCCCCACTGCCTGCATGATCTCAGCCGAGGAGTAGAAGGCCACACTGCCTTCTTGTGTCAGCTCTCACTCTGTAACCAGGGCCCTCTTTGTGCTGTACTTAGGGCCATGTTTTCCACATTGTCGTGCTTTTTGTTGGTGATCCTGCTGTTTAAACAGGCCACAGGCGTAGCGCTGACATTCTCTCTAGCGTTGCTAAGTATGAGAAGGCTGAGGTGCTTCTTACAGGGAAGACGCACGGTTTAGGTGAGCTTCCTTCAGGAGCGAGTTAGAGTGCTGCTGGCCGTGAGTTCAGTGCAAATGACTCAACCCTACTGAACAAGGGGGCCTTCTATAGAAACACATGTGCAGCAAGCTTGTGTTTCGGTCGGCTGGGGAGAACGTTGTGACCAGAGGCTCGCAGGAACCAAATCCTGTGTTTTCCTCTAGGAGCTGCGGTTCACTGATCACTAATTCAGTGTTTGCGGCAACTTTATACGATGTAACTACCAAGACCAGTGCGACTTGAGTGTTGATAGAAAGCATTTAGGATGGAATTTGGCAGGTGGTACATACCCTATGTGTCACAGGCCGCAAACACAGGCCCGTGGGCCGAGTCTGGCCCGGCATCTTATTTCTACCCGGCAGCAGCACCGAGCTCTCACTTAACTGCTAAGGGTAGTTACACTTACACAGTCCTAAAGTTACACCCGGCCCTTCGAAGGCAGCGCGAGGCCAATGTGGCCCCGGTGAAAATGAGTCTGACCCCCTGCTCTGTGCAGTTTCTACCCTTTTCTGAAATGTGCACTTGGCCGGTGTGGCGGGAGTCAGTCCCTGAGGAGGGAGGACGGTGCCTGTGGCCACGTCGGTCATTGATGTTTCCTCCTGCCCGTGAGCAAGTCTGGCTGTGGGGGGTGTGCACGGGGTTTGTGATGATGCCGGTGGGTTTGGTGTCGGACAGGAGCAGCTCTGGGGACAGAGGAGGATGCTGCACGCCGCTTGTGGCAGTGCACGGGTTGGGGAGGACCATGCTGAGTGCAAGGTGGGGCTTTCAGGGAAGCGGAGCTGGACCCCGGCCACGCTCAAGCCCAGGCCCTTTAGCGCAAGGGCGTGATAATCACATTGTTAATCTTAACAGAACCTGCGCTGATATGGTTTTAACTGCATCTGAACAGGAAATGATGACAGTTAGCTAACAGGGTGAGAGAGAGCACCTTTATTTACTGAAGCAAAAACTCAGTCAGCCGGCCTGCTGGGGGTGCCTGGTTTGCCGGCATGCTGCATGAACTCTCTCTCACAAAGGCTCAGCCCCCAAGCCATTTGCTTCCACACCAAACCAAGTGCCACCACCCACAGCAAGTGGAGACGAATGCCACCGGGACTATGCCGGAGAGCCAGGCACAGGCCTGCTTTCTGTCTCGGCCACTGTGGCACCCGCACGTGCGCCTTTGTGCTCTGCTAATGTGCAGCTGAGCCTCAGAATTAAATTAGAAATGGCCCTCCAGGACTTGAAACAGCCTTCCCCTCGCTGCTGCCCTCTGTGTGCGATGGGCTGCTTAGGGGCTGTGGACGCACGGCTGGGCCACCACCCAGAGCAGCAGTTCTGCCCCCGAGCGGGGTGGGTAGTGGCCCAGCTCAGATGATGAAGATCAGGCGATCACTTCTCTTCCAGAATACTGAAGCACCTGCAGACCAAGGACCCCGTGCAGCTGAGGCTGGAGCACCTGGAGCAGGGCTTCTCCGTCTACGTCAACGGGGCCAATTCCGAAGTGAAGACATCGCTGCGGAAAGCTGTCCACTCTGACTTCTCCAGAAGCGCCTCGCAGGCCGAGGGGACACAGGGTGAGCGCAGGTCCCTCCTGGCTAAGTGGTAGTTTGGTGAACTGAGTAGGAACCGTGGAGCCACATCCTGTGCGTGTAAACTCATCAGCACACAGTTAGGTAACCTCTACAAGTTAACAATACCCACTTGGCCGGAAAGAGAGAGCATGTGAGTGAGAGAGAGAAATTCTTTTTTATGTTTTTTAAAACGAGTCTTGGCCTCTACTGCCCCAGGGCAAAGGTCAGAGCAGCAAATTCCGGGCTTTTGCATTTCCTGAGTCTCAAGTGCCTTAATTTGAGGAAATGTCTAGGGTTATTTTGATTATGCCTGATTTTCGCTTGATACGTCTTGTTTTCAGTCCCTAATCACTGTTTTGATTCCACTGTTCATTTCTGAATTTAGTTACTCCATATTCTGCATGCTTTAAGTGGTTTTTGTGTGTCCTATAATAACAGCACAGAAAGTCTGAAGTAGAATAGAAAGCACCCAACCCAGTGGCAGGCCCCATGCAGTTACCAAAAGTGATTTGGTGGCTGAGTGAATGCAGTGGCAGAGTACGTGGAGGCAGGTCCCAACCGGCCGTGCTGCTTTGGGGAGGCCGTCCTGTCTCTCTGCGCCTTTGTTTCTTCCTTCTTAAAATGAGACTGACAAGGGCGCCTGTCCTTGGGGTGCCGGAGGGCCCCTGAAAGCAAGCGGCTTTGCCCGGAAGACCAGTGCGCTGCAAGTTGTAGGATGATGAGTGGGAATGAGGAAGCTGTGTTTGAGCCCTGTTTTGCCACTTTCTGGCTCTGAGACCCCTGGCAAATGGGTCGTCTCTGACCCTCAGCTTTCTCTTCTGTAAAATGGGACTCATTATGCCCACGTTGCAGGCTCGCCAGGAAGATTAAATGGCATAAGAAATGTAAAGTTTCCAGCACACAATAATCTTAATTTGTATTCTTACCACAGGTATGGTAAAATCCCAGGCCATTAATAGGCACTGAGAGTCAAAACAACAGGGTGACAAAAGGAGAAAGTAATGGTCCAAACCGTTCCCCAGGAGAGTCACTGTGGTTCTGCTGGGGGTTCAGCAGGAGCTCCCTAGCCCCCAGGGCAAAGAGGAACAGGGTGGTGCTCCCAGCTTTCCTCCTGGCAGAACCCTGGCCCTGCTGCCACTCAGGAGAAGCGGGCCTTTCTGAGTCCGGACTCCAGAGAGGGACAAACAGCAGGAGTCTCTGTGCCTGGGCCACCAGCAGGAGAGCTGCTCATTCAACACAAGTCTGTTCCCTCTTTCTTCTGTTACACAAACACTGGCCTGTGGTGCACACTGTCCTGTCCCCTGGAGACTGTTCCTTTTGTATGCCGACCCGTCCATTTGGCTGTACGTTATTATAGATATTGCTGTCATCCCGGTTCTGCTGGGCATGTAGCTTGTTTTCTAATGCTTTGTTGCTACAAACGGTGCCCCAGTGAGTAACTTCCCATACGGAATTGTGGGCGTACTGATGTGTATTTAAATGTAAGTTACGAAACTGCCATCAGTGTGAGCTTGTCATTGGTGCCTCACCAAGTCTCCTCCCTCGTCTCTGCTGCAGATGGTGGCCGAAGAACCCTGTTTCGAGAAGCTGAAGAAGCTTTAAGACGCAATTCACGCACAGCCCCCAGCAAAGTCCAGCGCCGAGGATGGCACCAGGTCTGGAAACGGGGGCAGAGTTGAGACTGTGGCCCCATCTCACACTCTAGAATGAGGAGTGGGGTTATCTTGGGGATGGAAACATAGTCAGGGCGTCTGGGATCTTGTGGGCAGTGGTGGGTGTGGTGGGGCACTGTAGCCGTGTCCGCTCTGTGTGTGGCTCTGGCCCCTGGAGAATGGAGGAGCCTGTGGGATCCTCCAGCCTCTCTCCATGTGGTCTCTCTTCTGGAGTGTCACAGGCCAAACTCACAGCCCTTTTGTGGTGATGCATTCATGTAGCTGTTTTTTATTGAGCACCTACTATGTGCCAGGCACGGTCTTAGATGCCAGGGATGTGGTGGGTGAATAAGACAGCACCTGCCCCCAGACCTGAGATGCAATTTTGGTTGCTACTGAGGCTGCCACAGCCAGCATCTTGAATTTTTGAGCCCCTACTGGGTGTCAGGCATGGGCTCAGCTCCTGTGTGCCCCCTTCCATTTGCCTTCACAGCAGACCTGCAGGGTGCCTTCCAATGTCCTTCTTCTTTCAAAGTTGCTGAGGAGACAAATGCTCAGAAAAGTTAAGTGAGCTTTCCTAGGTCAACTGCCAAGAAGTGGCAGAAGCAGGACTCACACCCAGATCTTTGGGCCCGAGCTCGGCGTCCCTCCACAGATAGTCTGTATACCTCACCTGGCAGGTACTTGCGCCTCACCAGGGACCTGTGCGTCATGACCCCCCTGCACGTCCAAATTGTCTGGAAGGTTTTTAAAATACTGATGCTCAGGCTCCACCCCCTGAGATTCTGACTCATTTGGTCTGAGGTGAGGCTTAAGTGGTGGTACACATGCTTTTTAGTCCTGTGCTCACCAAGATGGGAAAGTGCTGCTTGTAACATTTTGCACTGCACCATGTGTATGAGTCTACAGGTAAATACTTACAAATACTTTATCGAGCCAACTCTGTAACAATGCTGTAGGTCTGTAAATATCTTCATTGTGCCGCTGAAGAAACTGAGGCCCAGAGAGGTAAGGTCACTTGCTCAGAGTCACACAGCTACCAAAGAAGAAGGGTAGGCCGAGGTTTCAACCCTGGACCTGTGACTCCAAATCCAGTGGCTCCGCACTTCTCTGCAGAGACATTCATGGGTGTCTGGTTGAATGGGGAAGGGTGCTCCTGCCAGCTGGCTCCAGTGCCAGCGAGCAAGGCCTGTGGGGCTCCGAGCCTGGAGGCCTCCTCTGTCCCCAGCAATGCATGTTAATTTCTCATTAATGAGGCCATTCTCCACTTCTCCCTTCAGACCATCCTTCGAGCTATTCTGAGTGCCTTCTGCTATCTGGAGCCATACTTGCTTCTTAGACTGTGACTTAATGGCTGCCCCAGAATCTGTGCCATTTAAGACTTCGCCCAAGATTGATTAGCATCCATCCCAATCTCTCCCTGTAGTCCCACACATCACAGGGCCTAATCACGGCAAAATTCCTGGCTTCCTGATGCCATGAATGCTGTGATTGTCCTTCTGCACCATACCAGTCAGCGGCCAGCCAGCGCCTAACAATGGACAGCACTCAGGCCATTTTCATCCGGAATGAATGTAATACAGGGAATCTGGTGCTTCCCAAGTCCTCGGGCTCTGAGCCAGGCCTCCAGGGATGGCTCCAGTGTCTTCGCAGGGGCCTGCCAGCAAAGCTGCTGCCTGGGACACAGGGAAGGTGGGGGTCAGCATCAGGAATGAAGAGGCTACTGCCACACGGGTGGCCTCAGAATGACACTGCTTGCTAGGGCAGCTCTGTGACGAAAGACCCTGTCTAGCCAAGGTGGGACATTACTGAAAAACCCGTTTCCTCCACCTCTGTGCTGAGCACAGAAGCAGCCTGTAGCTCACTCTGCTTTCCCTGCCTCGCAGGTGGGCTTGCCTAGGTCGCATCCGGAGCCCCAGCTGAAAGGGAGTCTGGGGAAGTGTGGTATCCGACTTTCTGGCCTCTACTGAACAGGAAAGTGTCTTAGGAGGACAGTGGAATGGCTACTGGGGGTCATCCCACCCCCCACCATTTCTGACCAGATCAACTGCCCCACCCTCCCGCGGTCCTCCGGCCCAGCCCTCAGAGATCTAGGTGGACCGGAAGCCTTCAGTGGTGATGAGCGGACTAGAAGCCGCATCAGGAAAGAAATCATCAGTTGAGCAAACATTTATTGCCATGGGCCAGGCCTGGGCGAGGCTCTGGGGTTAAAAACAAACATTCGGATAAGGCCCCGTTCCTGCCCCGGAGACCCCATTGTGTGGGCGCGGGAACCGCTGACCTGGGAGGGAGCCGGGGCGCTGCCTGTGCCCACGCGGAGCACCAGCCCGATGGGTCTGGAGTGAACACGCCTGTGGCCCAAGCTTGCCCCCAGATAATGTTTTTCAAACTCACGCAGTTTAAAAAAAGACTTAGTCACTTACTAACATTTAAATTAAAAAAATTTTATATACTTTTTAAGAAGCTCTGTTTCTGCTTCTCTAGAAAAATAGGAAGATCTGGCCCCCAGGCTGGGCTGCCCTCCCTCGGGCAGCCACTAGAGGGAGCCCAGGAGCAGTCTCCCTGGTTAGGGCACAAGCCCACCTGTTTGCTGCGGTCCCCACCTCTCCCATGTGTACCGGAGCTGAGGCCCAGTGGCACTTGCAGTGTGTTACTGCTATGCTACTGTTTCTCGTACACCTTTCCATTTCCCATCTGGCCCTTGAGGACATGTCAACCCGTGACATGCCGCTGGGAATAGAAGGGAAAGGGCTTTGGCCTCACACAAACTCCTGACTGGCTGTGTGCCCTGGAACTGCGATGTGACCTCTCTGAGCTTTGGGCTCATCGTCAATAACCCCTCCCAGGCCTTCTGGGAAAGACGTGTTCACAGGGTGTCATGGGTGGTCCATCAGTGGGGCCGTCTGCCTGTGCTTCAGGCAGCACCGTGTGGCAGCGGGTGACCGGCAAGTCCAGGGAAGTGGTCAAGGGCACAGACTCGGGCAAGAAGCCCAGGTTTAAAGCCTCAGCTGCACCACTTACTGGGTATATGGTCCTACACGAGCTGCTCAGCCTCTCGGTGTCTGTTTTTTCTAGTGATACTGGTGTCTGTCTCGTAGGGTAGGTAATGAGGATTGGACGAGCCAATGTTTGACGAGGGTTTCAAGCAGCGCCCAGCAGCGTAGAGGGAGCCGTCAGTAAACACACAGCTGTGTGATCAGTGCAGGAGCAGATGCCGAGAGCGGCCTGCCTGCAGACATCAGGGCTCTTTACTCTTCACCCATTCAGTCTCCCGCTCGTCCTGTGGCCGCGTACGGAGCATCTGCTGAAGTCTGGGGACGTGTGCGCTGCGGTCAGCGCAGTGAGTGGGGCAGGCCAGGCCCGCTCTCTGGGTGCTTACATTTCCAGGCATGAGTGGACAGGTCGAGGACAAAAGCAAGCAAAGAAACCAGTGCCGTGGAAGACAGGAAAGAGTAGCACGAGATGGGCAGTGTCTGAGGAAAGAGTTGCCCTAGAGGGGGTGGGCCAAAGGCTTCCCTGGGGGCCGCATCTGGGCTGACCCCTGAAGGTGAGATGGAGCCACTCCCGGGAGGCCTGGGGCGGGAGCCTCCCGGGGGAGGGACCAGCGAGGGCCGTAGGAAGTAGAGTCAGGCCGGAAGGAGGCCGGGCTGGCCTGTGCGCAGAGGTGGAGAGGGCGGGTGCGAGGGTTTGGGGGTCACCGGTCGAGGGACTAGGTCACACTGTGCCTGGGAGATCCCTGGAAGGAGTTTGGATTTTATTTTAAATGTGAGGAGTTCCCTGGAGGGTTTTCGATAGGAGAGGGACATGTTTGAGCTCAGGTTGTAGACAAACATGCAGCTGCTAGGTGTAAAAGGGCTGCAGATAGGGCCAGGTGGCTGCAGAGGGCCAGGCGGGAAGATTTGAAACAGGGCTTTCTGTGAACGCAATTCAGCCTTTTTTTCTTTTTACTGGCCTTCCCCAGTCTCCACCTTGCACCCCTGCGCCTGTGTGCTACCCCCGGCTTTCACTATCACCTCAGCTTTCCTGACCCATCAGGCCTTCTGTGTCAGCTTTTCATTCCCTTAGTACTTGTCTGTTGTCATGTTCCAAGGGAGAGACCCTCTGATTCTCTTAGCCCACCTCTGTCACTCGGGTCACGGCCTGGACTCTGGGTCGGCCTGGACAGACGCCACTACCGCCCGGACCGGCTGGGACTGGGGGTAGGGCCCGGGTCTGACGATCCACCCACAGCCTGCCTGCCCTGGAGCTGTTCGCTGAGCGGGCATGGGCCCCCTTGACTCCACTGAGGAGGCTATGCACAAGATGGTAAACGGACCCCATGTGCCAACTGCACTGTCATTGTCCTGAGGAAGAGAGACTGGATTGCAGTTTCCTTTGGCTACAAGTAGTAGAGTTAAGAAGCAAGTTTCTCCATGATTGGAAGTACTTAGGGATGGATTATGGGTGTGTGTAGGATAGAGATGAAGCCAGCCTCTCTGCCCTTTTGAATGGGCTCCACTCTCCTTAGAGGCAGCCAGGGCTAGGCAGAGTGGTCAAGGTAGCAAAGTCTCCACTGGCCAGTTCTCTGAAGCTGCCCCATCAGGAGAGGGGCCACAGCCCTGCCCCCATCCTTTGGTTACTCCTGTGCCCAGCAGGAGGGACAGGTGGGGCCAGTCGTCTTGTGCATTTACACCGGCTGGGTTGGCAGAGGCACAGTGGTATCAGCGCACAGGGAGCCCATCGGCCCGTCCACTCTCCGCTGCCCCGTCTCCCCCTGCCCCGTCTCCCCCTGCCCCCACTGTTGCATCCCCGCACTCTCCAACCTGTGCTCCTGCCGTCTTTTCTCCATGTCTCCCCTCAGCTCTCTTGAGTCACACAGCCCCTCCCCACTGACCAAGCCCAGTCCCTTTGGCTCTTCCAGCACAGTAGACTTTCCTTCTTAGGGTCTTGCCCAGCAACTAGGAAGCCCTTTGGGTAGAGCTGCCCTTGATGGGAGGGGCTGCCTCAGGCTCAGCGGCCTGAGG